TATACCTTTAATGAATGTTTTTCTCTCAAATGAAGGAAGAACGAAGTTTGATTTTATAATTCATTCTAATCTTGAATGAGAGATTTTCTTCCTTTCTTAACACTAGATTGCCTTTGAAATCACCATTCACTTGCATGACTTTCAAATTTAGAAATGCATATAATAAGAATGTAGGAGTTACAATTTCTAGCAGAATGAATGCAACTCTTCTATCTTTCTTTCCCAAGCTAAATATGTGAATACACTTATGTCTTCACCAAAGAAAGGAACATCTCTCTCAGCTTTATATTGCAATTCATCCTTACTCATATTTTCCATTTTTCGAAGATGCACTTCTTCTTGTCGCCATAGATGGAGTTCTTTGAGTTCTTTAGAAATTTGTTTCAAAGCATTAGATTTCTTAGAGGTACTCATTCTAGGGTGAGATTGATGTCTAGTCATCGCTACGTGGACACAGGTCATTGAACCTGAAGTATTCTCAGAAAGGCTAGAGTTGAGCACCCTCTAGTGGTCGTTGAGCACTTTAGTAAGCTTGTTGGGTGAGCTCTAGTTGATTTATCTCCTTTGCTCCAAATGAAGATTATATGAATTTGTTCCTTCTCACTTGCATTCTTCCACTTGATTTTGATACTTCTTTAGACCAAACTTCTAGTATAGGATCCATTGATTGCCCTATTCCATTAGCTACATAATAACTTTGTAGAAATATAACTTTGAAAAACGTCATTTTACAATTTATTTGGATTTATTTTATGTTTGATATCATAAACAATTGTAAATGTGTTCGGGGAACTTCTAGAATTGTGGCAATGGCTTATTTTAATGAGTATTTAGAATATCCGATGAAAATTTCTTATAACTTACATAATACTATATTATATTTTCTCTTTAATTATTGAAATAGCTTTTATTTTATTGTTTGCGTAATAAATAGTAATTCAACAAATAATTAACTAAGTATTTCACACCCTAAATTGGGGTGTCATGCATGCGTGCTCAAATAGTATAATGACCTAACTGTTATGTAGAAATAACTCCTAATATAACGTAAGGTAAGGGTTGTTCTACTTGCACCCTGTTTTTCACTTCACACACTCTGCTTTTGGTTTCTGTATATTCCCCTAAAATTACTCGTTTTCAAAATATTTGATAATAAGTACATTCTCGATTTTAAGAAAATGTTGAATACATTTTATAAATCAAAATCTAAAAGGATTAAAATTGAAAAAATCACATAAAATAGTGGAATTGTTATCATTTTTAGGAAAATGCTAAAATAAGAACCCTGTTAATTAAAGAATTTAAAATTAAAAGCATTTCCGGTGCGCAAAGAAAGTGCAAATATAACCGTTCACTAAGCCTGTCAAGTTTCAATTATAGAAACATGGCCTTTTCGTTTTACATCCCACTATTAGTAACTGCACTCCCTACTATCCCAAAAGAAACTTGAATATCCATTATATGTTTGTTCTAAAACTTATCATTTATGTTCTTTTTTGGAAATTATATTACAGAAAACTCGATCCGGAAGATATTTCATATGTTTCAGAAAGTTTGTTTCAAAAAAATTCATTTTCAAAGATGTTAAATATCTTCTAGAAAGCGAATTTTGAAATACATTTCAAGTTTTTAACAAAGTTTCTTCTAAAAGTTCTACTACAAAATCATGCTCCAAAAATTTCAGAAAACTTTTTCTTGGAAGATTTCAGAAACAGATAATCAGAAGTCACTTTTACAAATGTAGGAGTGGGGTTAGAAATCATGGCGCATAGGAAGAAAAGGCAACAAATGTTCAACCACTTTCAAAAACAATCCTGTATTGTAAGCCCAGAACATATAACCCGTTTAGGAGAAGTGCACAGAAATGGGAATTATTATATACACCCTGCTTTTTTTATTCAAACCTCCCTACAAGTAAACTAGCTTTGTATTATAGTCAACATCACAATACATCGTGTATAAGAATAGGAATGACAAAAAAATTAGCAGATATTTTTTTACTTGTGGAGCAATTGATAGTGATATTTTAATACCTACTTAATTTATATTTTATTAGGTTAAATTTAATTAAAATTAAATTTTAGTTTAATTTAATTTATATTATATATATATATATATTGTAATTTTATTCTAAAAATATATAAAATATAATTTTTTAATTTTTTATGAGTATCCGTAGGTATTCATAGATTTTAAAATATTCACGAGTATTTTCTAAACCGATAGGTAGAAGACATATTACAAGTCAAATTTTCATTTTGCAAGTCAAGTTGTGAGTAGGTACTATTTGTATCTGATCTGATCCGTTATCATCCCGTGATTATTAAAACTAAATTTGGTTATATCATATTTTCTTATAAAACTAAGGTTTAATGTTTCGGTAAGTCCCTATTTTTGTCCAGAATCTCAAATAGGTCATCTTCTTTTTCGGCGTCTCAATTGAGTTCTTGTTTTTGTAATGGAATGTTGAGGATATTGTTTTAAATGACGTGTCATTAAAAACTTGTGTAAAGTGTATTTTATATTAAAAATTGGCGTGCGTAAAGTGTATTTTATATTAAAAATTGGAGTGCAAAGAGGAGAAATCAAATTTAATTTAATTAAGGGCAAAGTGGACAATACAAACAAAATTAAGTGCAGTCCTGCAATTTAAAAAGAAGTGCCAATTTAGAATTTTGGGTTGACGAAGACCCACCGTCGTAGTGACTACCTTCAGCTGCTTCATTCGGTGAAGTAGCTCCTTCTCTTCCTCACCTTCCATCATCATCTTCACAACCCTCGCAATTTCTCCTCTTTCCACCGACCCATTCTCACCAATCGCCACTCTCACTGCAACTTTCATGCCTTCACTGACAAAAACGACATTCATCTTCTGCTCAGTGAAGAGTGGCCAAGCCACCAAGGGCACACCACTCACCACACTTTCAAGAATCGAGTTTCAATCACAGTGGTTGCGCATCCAACCACATGAAAAAACAAACACCAATATCCAATCGAACAAAAACGAGTGCCCGACGCCCATGGAGCTTCGTATTAGGGTTCCTGGTGGCTAAGGTCGTGCCCAACGCCCATGGAACCTTCACTGGAAGTCGCGATTGCGGAGGAGGCGACGATGTTGTTTGCGAAGAGCTCTATGTTGGTGGCGGTTGTTCTCTCGACAACGAGCACCAACCTCCGACACGCCCCTGGGTTTATGGACACCGTGAAAGCCGACATCGAAACCTGCGATATAACTGCGAACAAGCGAAGCACTAAACCCACGATGCAACATATAAGGAGAAATCTCTTTACAGAACAAAAAATCTCTTCATAGAAGCAAACATCAAAAAGGGTGAGAAATTAACGGGAAAGTGAAAAGAAAATTTCAAAAACCAAAGAGAACAAAGGAAAAACCATTACCAATTGAAAGCTGCGATTTAAAGATGAAAATTTGAATAGAGAAATGGAGAGAAATTGGAAGCTACTATTAAGAGAGGGCAAAGAAATCTATTTTACATAGTGTTTGGTATTCCTTTCGAAATCCAGTGTTTTTCACCCATGAACCCTAATTTCACATGTTTTTTTTCCTGTCAAGAACCCTAATTTTGCATTCCTCAATTGCATATAAAGGCTTTAATTTCTTTTTCTTAATTTGCCCTCAATTTTTAATTTAGAAATTACAAAATACAGGTCACAATCATGTATAAACGGTCACTTCATTTAAAACAATACACTGACTATGTCACTAACTCAAACTTAAATGGTCGTTTATCCAATTTGACGGCAAGCCTCTAATTGCTTCAATTTTACAAAAATAAGGATCCAATTGAGACGTCGAAAAAAAAAAAAGAAACCTATTTGAAATTCTAGACGAAAATAAGGACCTACCAGAACATTAAACCTAAAACTAATAAAATGTGCTTTTACTGTTTAACTACGATTTACTTATTTTAGGATAATCCAATGAATTTTCTTAATTTTGTCACTGTTTTTCCATCCAACACATAAAAGATGTTCGTAGTAAAGATCATATAAGATTGCAACTTATAAGAAATAAAAAATAAAAAATAAAATTTCTTTTCTTATTTATTTTTACTTTTCCTATTTTCGTTCTTTTTACCTTTTATTTATTTTAAATTAACCAAGTTTTATTTATTGCATATTACTCGTTTTCTTTTATCTATTTTCTCTCCGTTAATTTTTTTTTCTCACAAATTGAACCAAAAAAAACTCATAACAGACAAAAGTTCAAAATTATCCTTTTATCTATCTATTCAGTTATATAATTCTATATATAATTGGAAATCATTTATTTCTTTCCCTATATTCATACATTTCTTTGATCATATTACTGACGTCCATAATAAATCATTTATATGTTGAACACACACATACATACATATATATATATATATATATATATATATATATATATATATATATATATATATATATATATATATATATATATATATATATATATATATATATATAGAATGATAAGGAAACAACGGAATGATTTGATATTATGTCCAACAAAGTTAATACAATTTCTTAATCTTGCTGACTTGTCTGTGATGCTGATTGCTCAGGTGACTCAAGTGAAAACTACTCGTACCTTTATATGTAGACTTTCTTATTTTAATATTTTAATACTATACGTTTTTAATTAAGATAAAATTAAATATACAAGTAGTTTTTGTTTTATTGAATATGTTTATTTTGTATGTTATAATAATGATAATAATAATACTGATAAAATAGAAATTCAATGCGTAAAGGGCAGATGGAGCATAATACATAATGGTGAATAACTTTCAAGCAAAGTCATTATATTTTATTGATTGGAGACATCAATAAAACAAATTAAAATATTACAAACCGTACACACTAAAATAAAATAGTGCCTAAAGTAAAACTATTTATGATGAAGACATTAGGGTAGGTATATGCTATTTTTTTTAGGTGCGTTGAAATGAATAATTTAGCACAGAAAAATGTTACAAATTATTAATTAATGTTCATTTCTTAGGCAAGTCTTTCTGGTAGGGATAGTCATCACAGTCAAGAAGGTCCTCCAACAATTTGTCATCCAAGCACTCAAACTCAATAACTTGTTTACCATGATCGTTTTTAAGCATTGAAGAAGATGAGGAAGAAGAACATGGTAACGATGAAGAGGAAGTGGTAGAAGAAGAAGACGAAGGATACTCATTTGGAAAGTTGAGAATGGCTGAAGTACCTCTCATCTCAAAGGCAGCACGGTCATAAGCCCTAGCAGCCTCCTCCGCCGTGAGGAATGTCCCGAGCCATACTCGACCGCCGTGCCGAGCGGGGTCTCGAATTTCGGCGGCGAACTTTCCCCATGGCCGGTGGCGGACTCCTCTATAGCGTGGCTCTTTCTTGGTGTGCAAGTTTTTGTCCTTAGAGGAATCCTCTTCCATTCTGGCTCAGAAAACAATTTGTTACACTCCATGTATTTATACTAATGCACCTAATTGCTACTTAATTAACTCAATTCTGTAAAGTGATCAAATGCCAAATTCATCATAGGTTCAATGGATTCGGAAAGTAATGAATATGCTGATTGAGATTGTTTCAGAGTGTTCAACGAATGTGGATGTATCACAGAATTTGCTGATGGCTAAAAGGCCTGCGGAGGGTCACCTCAAATAATTTTTTTGGAATTATTCATAAATGAAATGTTAGAATTTCTGATTCTCAACCAGATTTAAGTGAGGTCATAAGGATCAATTCATCTCTTTCTGCCACAATTTAGCTGCAACGAATTCACGAACAAACGGTCTTTTGTGTGTGCTTCTGATTGGCTTTTCTGAATATTTATTATCATTGTTAAGTTTGAAATTAAAATAATAACTTTTTGTTCACCATTACGTTGGTAACATTATTCTAAGGTGAAACATTGAACTTCGGTAGCAGCTGTAGCATCATCATGCCTTACATCGTTGGACTTTGGGTGGAAATTGGAACGGTCTTCATCATGATGGTAGCTTTCACCTCATATATTTCTCTGTCTCCTATGTAGCTTTGTTCAAATATGCAAAGACTAAAACTCTTTATTTTGTAGGGTGGAACATCTTCACAAAACACTCTTTCACACTTTTTTTTATTTATTTAGGTATTTTCGAATATTTTTAGTCAATTTATTCATGTATACATTCTAAATAGTTCGTGTGTCCATGTTAAAGACATTCCGACATTAAAATCAATGATTAATCTCTTCAAACATCAATGTGAAACGAGTATTTTTGTAGAAATTTTCTATTCTATATCTAAAACACTACTATTCGATTTTAAGTCATATCAAAAGATGATTTTTTCGTGAAAATTTTATTTTTATTTTCTACACATATTTATCGGTTAAACTTGAATGATGTTGGTTTGTGTTTGTGAATCACAGATATAATTTTTCACTATTGAATTTGTATAAGATATGAAAAGCACAAAATTTGCCCGGTTGAAGAGAAGGTCAATAATATTGTAAGTCAACTATAGGTACTATATGTGACTTTATGCAGTTTGGTTGGTGTTAATTTACGGAAGAGGTACGAAATTTGGTCCTTGCATGCAATCTTAGCCATTCGTTCCTTCTTCATCTTCTTTCAGTTGTGGCCCATTAGGATCGACAAAGGAACCCTACTGCAGAGCCACTTGACCGACCAACTATGCCCAAATATTCGTCAAAAAGCAACTCAAAATTATTATTATATCTTCACCAACAAACAAAACGGAAAATTGTTAGCAAATAAATACAAGATTTAGTAGCATTAAAAGGTAGTTCTTATATTTCAAATATAAAGATTATTTGATCATTACTTTTTAATGTTTGTACATAACTATCCCGTTTTAATTGCCTGCAAGTTTGCATTAAAATGATGGATTTAATATTTTCGTAACATTAAATGTTGTTTTTATTAACATTCATTGAAAATTCTATTGAAATAATTATAAAATTTTAACAAATTTGTTTGTGTATTTTGTAAATAAAATTAAAATTACGCTGTTTTCATATTTACTAAAAATTTTGGATCAACCGGAGAACTATTCCTATTTTGTAATTGTTATCTCTTGACGAAGGAAATTAAGAAGAGAGAGATTATAAAATCACGTTAAGGGATATGGTTTGTGTGAAATAAAAGTTGACAAAATAGACATTATATCTAAGACGTTTTTTTTAAGATGATCACATATTTTAATAAAGATGATTTTCACATATTTAAATTTTTAATATAATAAAGTAAAACATTCTTGATTTAGTATACAAACTTTAATTTTATTATTTTTATTTAAACTTGGTTAAGATAATTGAAGATATTTTCGTTTTGGTAATTAGTATGTATGTTTATGAAAGTAAAAATATATAATTAATTACTAAATATCATATATATATATATATATATATATGGGTTTGCTAACTTGCTTATGTCCGTTTTTCAGTTGGTAGATTTTAGCAATGTGTATTGGATTTTAGTAGACAAAAACACCCTTATATATCATGAATGTTAAGTTATAAGATTAAGGGTATTTTAATAATTTTTCCGTTAAACAATTTGTCTTTGTAAAGAATTGAGTCATTAACATATTCACCTTCAGGCAAAGGTTCATTCAAGATCTCTTCAATTTCACCATCTTCACTAACCTCTCTAATTTCATCATCTACATATGTTGAATCATCATCTCTAAAAAAAACCCTCCAGGCCAATTACCAATTCCTTTCGATGTCATTATGCTTCTGAAAATTAGATAAAATTATATACGGCAAAAATTATAAAATGAAAACTCATTATAAAATCATTTTTTGTAGGAAATTTTTAACAACGAGTGTTTTTGATTTTTTCCTGGCCAATTACCAATTCCTTTGATGTCATTATGCTTGTGAAAATTAGATAAAATTAGATAAGACAAAAATTATAAAATGAAAACTCATTATAAAATCATTTTTTGTAAGAAATTGTTTAACAGCGAGTATTTCTGATTTTTTTTCCGACCAATTACCAATTCCTTTGATGTCATTATGCTTGTGAAAATTAGATAAAATTAGATAAGACAAAAATTATAAAATGAAAACTCATTATAAAATCATTTTTTGTAAGAAATTGTTTAACAGCGAGTATTTCTGATTTTTTCCAAGTCAATTACCAATTCATTTATACTTGTGAAAATTGGATAAAATTAGATAAGACAAAAATTATAAAATGAAAACTCATTATAAAATCATTTTTTGTAAGAAATTGTTTAACAGCGAGTATTTCTGATTTTTTCCAAGTCAATTACCAATTCATTTATACTTGTGAAAATTGGATAAAATTAGATAAGACAAAAATTATAAAATGAAAACTCATTATAAAATCATTTTTTTTGTAAGATTGTTTAACGGCAAGTGTTTCTGATTTTTTGAATTGGGGCTATAGTAGGGATGACAGAGAAAAGGTTGGAGTGAGAAAGATGAAAGAGAAAGGGTTGAGAGGAATGAGAGAGGTGAGCAAGGGTTTAGGGGGTTTCTTTTTTTTTTTTTAGTTTTGAGAATGAAAATTATTAAAATACCCTTAACATTAAAACTTAGAATCCATGATATATAAGGGTATTTTTGTCTACTAAAACCCGATACACATTGCTAAAATGTACCAACTGAAAAACAGGCGTACGTGCGTTAGCAAACCCCATATATGTATATATATATTAACGAAAATAAAATTTTTATATTAAGGTTATAATATTCTTTTATGCGAAATATATTAATACTGTTGTACTAAATAAATTATGTATCCATCTTTTAATGAACAAAGAATAAAAGTTTATAAATAGATTATATACGTTCTCTCTTTATTTTAGTAGAATTTATTCCTTGCATTATTTTACTTTTTTTATTGTTAAGAAGTTAACTTTAAGCCTAATCCAACCCTACAAAATCAGCTTGTAAGACGAGATTTGCATCCACTTATATATATTATAAATTAATTTATCTCTAGTCGATGTGAGACTTTCAACACACACCCCTCACACTGAGGTATATACATCTCGAACGTGAGACTAGACATTAATGGGTGGTTCGATAACGGCCGGATAGCAGGTGGAACAATATGCCCAACAAACAACAAATATCGCTAGGATAGGCTCTAACCCAGCTTTGATACCATAGAAGTGGACTTTAAGTCTAACTTAACCTCATCCATATTAAGCTTTCATGGGTCATGCATAAATTGACTAACAACATTCACTGCATAGGTAATAATATATAGACGTGTATGAGACAAATAAATTAATTTTCGTGTCAGCCTTTGGTATCTTCCTCTGTCTATGCTTGCTGAATTTGAGCATTGAAAGAGTTTATGATGTTTTTCAATTGGTGTATCAACCGGTTTACTCCCAAGCAGCCTAGTTTCCAATAATAAGTCAATAGTATATTTTTTTTTGCATAGGAAAATATCATGTTTTGATCTAGCTACTTTAATACCCAAAAGGTATTTGAGATTTCCAAGTTGTTTCATCTCAAATTCAGATACAAGATATTATTGTAAACTATAAATCTCATCTTGGTCATTTCTTGTAACAATCATATCATCTAAATATATAATCAAAACTGTAATTTTTCCTTTTCCTCTTTTCAAAAATAAGGTGTGATCATAGTTATTTGCTCTATAGCCAAAAGCCTTCATAGATTTGGTAAACCTTCCAAACCATGCTCTTGAGGATTATTTTAATCCATATAGAGCCTTCTTTAATTTGCAAACCTTCATTCCAATTGAATTTATCATTCCTGGTGGAGAATCCATATAAATTTCTTCTAAAATTTATCCATGTAGGAAAACATTTTTCACATCAAATTGTAGAAGAGACCAATTTTGATTTGCTACTCGTGACAGTAGTATTCTCACAATGTTGAGCTTGGCTACCGGTGCGAACATCTTTTAGTAATCTACATCATAAGATTAAGTGTAACCATTAGCCACAAGTCGTGCTTTATGCCTCTCAATAGTTCTATCAGTTTTATTCTTAATTGTAAATACTCATTCGTAGTCAACAGTTTTCTTTCCTCTTGGTAAGGACACAAGATCCCAAGTGTTGTTTTTTTCTAAAGCTGTCATCTCATCAACCATTGCTCTGGTCCCTCTAGGATCTGCCAAAGCTCCCTATATATTATTAGGAATAGAATTTGAAGATAATTGAGATACAAATGATGCATATGATTGGGATAACCTGTGAGATGACACATATTTATTAATGAGATCTTTAACTTTGGCTTGGAGGTCTAGTTCATATTTAGTTGGTGGTTGACCCAGTTAGAACGAGGTGAAAGATTATATTGAACAGTAGTAGACTCGGTGTTTGATGTGATGGTGGTCTCACGTAGACAAAAATCAATTTCGTGATTGGTTTCACCTAAATTAGTATTATCAAGGGTAGGACCAAGAGAAACAATTTCACGAATAGTTTCAGTGATAGGATCAGAAGGTACCTCTGAAGAGTCAAGTCGAACCTATGGAGAAGATTGAACCAATTGGTTATGATCAGAAGACATTGTATTATCGTAAAAAGAAGTGTCCATATTTAGGATTGGCTCACTTCCTACAGAATGATCCTCACACAATAATTTATCTTCACAATATAATTTTATATATAGGATATCAAACATACTAACATCATGATTATGCACTTCACTTCCATTGTTTCCCCTGAAGTGTAGAATGAACATAAAAAAATTCATGCTTATTAAATGTCACATTCATAGAGATATAAAATTTCTTTGATGGTGGATGGTAAGCACAATAACCTTTTTTAGTTGATCCATATCCAACAAAAACACATTTGATAACTCGTTCTTCAAGTTTTGTACGTTGATATGGGTGTAAGTGAACATATATAACACATCCAAAAACATGAGGTGGTAAATGAACTATGGAAGGAAGGATATAATGATCAGACAACACATCTAAAGGCATTAGAAAGTTAAGCACTATAAGAGGTTTGATTAATTAAATAAAATGCAGAACTCACAGCCTTTACCCCATAAATGAGATAGGACACTATCATCTACCAAAAATGATCTTGTCACCTCTAATATATGTCTATTTTTTCTCTCAACCACTCTATTTTGTTGTGGTGAATAACGACAAGTAGTTTGATGCAAGCTACCTTTAGAGTTCATGAAATCTATTAATTCAGTCTTAAAATATTTTCATCTATTGTTTGATCGAGACCTTAATAGATGTGTTAAATCGTGTAACGATCATATGATGGAATGAATGAACCGCATCACACACATCACTTTTATGCTTAAGAAAAAAACATTCACGTTACTCTAGTACTACTGTACAATCATCAACAAAACTAATAAACCATTTTTTTCATTATGTGTAGATTGTGAGGCAGGACTCCAAACATCTGTGTGAATTAATGAAAAAAAAATAATTTTTTTATTGCTTAAGAAAACACAACACGATGACTTTTTGCCTTAATATAAGTTTCATAAAGAAAATAAGAAATATTACATTATCTATCTTGTTGTACTAAATAAATTATTTATCCATGAATAAAAGTTTATAAATATATTATAAATGTTCTCTCTTTATTTTAGTAGAATTTTTTCCTTGCACTATTTTACGTCTTTATTACCACCATTACATCGACATACATTTTATTTCGTTAAACTCTTTTATTGTTGACACAGTTTATTTTTATTTGAAAAAAAAGGTTATTCTAAAAAATATAAAAAAGAATATTTAAAACTATATAAATATACAAATTTTGTTTTAAAAAAGTTTTAACTAGAAAAAAATATGAAAATAAAAATATTTAAAAATATCATTTTTTTAGTTCAAATTTATAAAATAGAAAAAGTATTAAAATTTATTGAAAAAATTTATTTAGAAAAAAAATATAAAATAGAATTGGGTTAAATATGTTTTTAGTCCCTAAACTATTGACCGTTTCTGGTTTTCGTCCCTCTTTCAAAATAAGGTACAATTTGGTCATCATTCTTTTCGAAACTCTAGTTTTAGTCCTCGAAACTTTGGTTTTAGTCCTCGAAAACTACCACATTTTTAACGGTGTTAGTTTTCGAGGACTAAAACCAAAATTTTGAAAAGAATGAGGACCAAATTGTACCTTATTTTGAAAGAGGAACGAAAACCAGAAACGGCCAATAGTTTAGAGACTAAAAACATATTTAACCCAATAGAATTTAGAGCTTTTCTATGTAATCTTTTATTTTTTTTATTTTAAGAAGTTTGAGTATTATGAAATTTGTTTCTTTTTTTCAGATAATTAGTTTCAAACTCGTGTCTGTCCACAAGTTAATATTTGTTTGTGGGTATATTAAAAGAGATTGAGAAAAAAATAATAAATATTTTTAAGTTTATAATTAAGTTTTGAATAGAATCAATTTTAAAAATAATTTATAGGTTTAGAAGATTAATATATTTGTACAAATATAAATATTAGACTTGTTTAATAAGTGCATTGATAAACTTATTTAATATTTTTTGGTTATATTTATCTAATAAATGTATGTAACATCTTGTTTAATGTTTATTTTTGTTATATTCATCTAACTAATGTATGAAATATTTCTTATTGTGTATTGCTAGACTTATTTAATAGTTTTTGTTATACTCCTCCCATTAGTATGTCCAAATTTGTCTAATGTGTATATTGTTAGATTCATGTAATGATTTTTTGCTATATTTGTCTAGTATTGTTGTTAGACTTTTCTAATCAATATATGTGTAATATATATTTGCTTAAGTAATGATAATATAAATACATCAGTGATATATTAATTTTTTTTATTTTTACTTGTCTTGTTGTTAGACTTTTCTAATCAATATATGTCTAATATATATTTACTTAAGTAATGATAATATAAATACGTGATATATTTCAAAACAATTAATTTTTTTAATTTACTTTTTATTTCAATCTTACTGAAGTCTTTAAACTTTATATTTTCAAGTTAAAAATAATAAAAAGTGAATTCGATAAATATAAAAAAATTAAAATATTAAGAAGTAATTTTTTTTATTACAAATATGTAATTTAAACTTTTAAGTTAAATTATTAAGTATAATATTTTAATTTATTCTATTACTAATATGATTATTTAAAATTTTATGACAATTTATGTGTACATATGATTAATGAGTTTTTTTATTAAATAAAATCAATTTAATTTTCGTGACATCACATTTTAATAGATTTACCACACTGCCATGGAATCATAACAATTCCAATAACACAAAACACTTAGATGGTAAAGAAAACATAAAAAAATTAGTTATTATAGTTATCAAAGTATAGTTATAATATATTTACTTTTTTAGAGCAACAAAACTTCAAAAGAAGTTTGAATATAGATTCATAGTTTTTCAAAAGATTTCTAGTAATATGGAAGAACTAAACACATGTATGCATCAATCTTTTCACTACCTAACTTCTGTTCAAAAGCAACTTTCTTCCCTGCTTTTATCGATCAGGTGACAAATTTCCAAACAATAAAACAAACAAACGCAAACAAAAAGGTAAACAAAATTCCAAAAGAAACCAGGTGTAAAATCAATTAAATTATCATCATACATAATGGACTATATTAAACATGTTCATATCATACATATCCTATTTCTAGACTCAATCATTCGATATAGTATTGATATGAGGTCCCGGTAGGTTTTACACTTGTGGTGATCTTAAATGCTCCGCAGAACCATTATCAACTTGGTTTTATATTGTCACCACAAGATTTTATGTCCTATGCGTGTTGAATTTTGTATACATTGCAATCAATTAGAAAATATTTTGAGTATATATAATTTTTAAAATAATTATTAAAAAAGTTAAAAAAATAGTATATACATTTACATTATCTATGTATTTTTAGCTAAATTCTTTCTTGAACAGCAATTGAAAGGTAGGCTTCCAAATATATTACTGGTGGGGGATAGTACTAATAGCACTGAATATCACATGATTAAGTATATTCATCAATAATGTTAATATTTTACTTCTATAGATTTGCACAAAGTGGAAATACAGTGCTTGAAAATGGAGAAATTCTTAGTATACCAAACTGAGGAACTTCAAATTTATTTCATGAAGGAGTTTTTTCAACCATTAAGCAAAGGCAACAATAAGAAAGATGCCGAATTGAAGTTTCCCTTTATTACACCATTCAATATACCTTTACCTTTTCCACATTTAACTTAACCCTTTTGTGCTGCAAATGATTTGAGCACAGTTTCTGTATCAGCATATTTGGCAAAGTAGTGAGAGTTGAAATCCTTGTACTTGAAAGCCTTAAAAATTGGAGGGTGATGTTCATCGGTGAGAGCTTCTGCTGGCTCTACGACACATTCATCTGTAGGAGCAACGAAGAAAGCAGCAGAAGTACGTGTATCATGTGAATTTGTCACAGCACGATGCTCAGCACTTATTAACTTTCCATTACTTATTACCTATATTCCAATCAAGAAAAAATCTTCAACATCAAGTTTAATGAAAGAAATTGCTCCTTGAAAATAACAAGTGCAAACTGATACATAAATTATTCCCAACAATCACATCTAAAATTTTCTTGATGAAAGTGTTTGATGGATTAAGAGAAGTATACCTGCAACTGGTAGCCTACGTTTATGACAAATGCATTAGGAATAGGTTGAACTGCGATCCAGTTTCCATCCTTGAGCACTTGAAGGCCACATACATGATCTTGGAGTAAAATGGTTATGAGATTAGGATCTGAGTGCTTAGTAATTCCCAGTGCCAAACTTGGTTCAGGGCATGGTGGATAATGATTAATTGTAAGAAGCACAGACCCAGTAAGATCGTTCTCAAAATATCCACATTCTAGACCAAGCCCTTCACTTATCAAACTCAAGATCCTAGAAGCCAACTTCTTCACTTCAACTGAAAACGACCCAACACACTCTCTGCTAAAGATGAACAACACTACTATGGAAGACAAATCATTTGAATATTTACACAACTATATATATATTTAGCACTTGAACTCCACTTGTTTGAAACAACCCTATATATACTAGTAACTAGTTGATTGAGTAGAACTTTTTCATTTGAATGCAGCAAAAACAATTCTTCAACTCAAATAAGATAAGACAGTTTTTCATCTGAACAAGTCAAAAGAGTTTTTCTTCCTTTTTTTTTTTCAAATGAAAAGGTACAACTTTTATAATTACCCACTTTCGTTTACCTGTATCTGGTTGGATTTTCAGGCCAGAGGTGTTGCCACTGTTCCAAAGGATGACATGGGTGCCTAAAATTATCTCTCCACAGATGAACCTTTTCATTTGCATAATTGACACTGCTGGTGAACATCTTGCATGTCTTGGAAGGATCATCTGAACACAGTTTCTGCTTTTCCTCTGCTGGCATCTCAAATAACTCTTTGAAAACACTTCTTGCTTCGTTCATTACATTCTCGGAAATTCCATGATTGATAACCTGCTCTAATCATACATAGCTTTCTGTTAAACATCACCATATAACATGTTGAATAGTCTATAAATGTTTAGCTTCTGCATAGGAGAAATCTTAATGTTTACCAAAAATAATATTATAGTAGTAATAAAAAAAGAAGTGATCATTATCTGAACCTGAAAGAATCCAAACTCCTCAGAAGCCTTGATAATTTTCTGAATTGTGTTGGTTCTATCACCATTTTCTGCTTCACTGAGATCAATCACAGAAATGTTGCTGCCAAAGGGGATTTTGAGGTCTCCTGGTCTTAATTCTGGTGGGAATATGTAGTCTCCAGAGAGAGATTCATGATTGAATCGGCTTGAAAGAAGTTTATCCATCTAATTTCAGTAGTTTTGGTTCTGTTTCACCACTGAGACTAAATCCAAAAATGGATTCGGGTATTGATGTTGAAGATGAACAAGAAAATACTTGTCGTGAATTTCTAAATCCTTTTGACTCTACATGATGAAAATGTTGATCCTGTCTTAATGCTTTGAAACGAAAAATTAGCAAGTCAATTATTAATCTGAATGTTATTTAATTAAATTAGTCCTATTTCATATATTAACGATTGATTAACCAATGCAGTTTATATTCTAAGAGCTGACGTGTAAACTCTTGGTATGATTTATTCTTTATTATTTCAGAGAATCCTTTGCCGGCTATCTAATTCTAAAAGTCTTTGTTTTTTATGTTCGGTAGTATATCAGTGATATCTCCGATTATTTTGGGTCCACGATAGATATTTGATACCTAAAATAATATAATATTTTTGTATAAGGCTTAGAAAATTATCTGAAGATGTTTCCTAGGCCACCAGACTTTTGTTTGGCTGGCCCATCCCATATTAAATTGAAGGCAAAAAAGAAAAACCAAATTGCTTGTGTTAAAATGATAATGATTTGCGAGTGTAATAAAAATAATTTGAAAGTCAAGCACTGTCATTACTACAAATCTTACCACTCAATCAGATATCATCTCATCATTCTTATGTTAAAATATATAAATCTTTGAGACAAGATTAAATATCAATGATGATATGCTAATAAATAACACGATAGATCAACAAATAATAAATTTCATTGAGATAAGTTTCGAATAACTCTAAGATTTTATTAAGAACTAGAATTTAACACTGACTTAACTTTATAAAACTAACAAGTAAAGTTTTCACCTATTTAAATTCTGAAAATTCAATTGACCTTATCTTTAAATTCACCTTACCTTCAGTGGGTAATAAAAGATAAATGTGAGCTGATAATATTGAGTGAGATTACCTGTGATGTGGTAGGGCCATCAAAGACACATATCAGATGTGATATGACAAGTGAAATTGAGGAGGAGGCAAGGTTCATATAAGAGAAAAGAGAAACCTCCAAGAGTAAGTAACCCATTGAAAGGAGAGACTAAAACATGCTACAAATATTGACCCCTCGTGCCTCTCTTCATGTCACAACTTGTTTCTTTTCCTTCTGATTAATCCCCAAATGCGTCTTAGCCTGCTAATCCTTTTCTTCTTTCATAGCTTTTACACTTTCCTCAACTCTTCTTTGACTCATAATATACACTTTATAATATTATCATTTCTCTTATTTATAGCATGACTTTTTTACCTTTAACAAGAATATTTTTTTTCTTTACTTGTATCAATATGGTGTGACAAGATTAACAGATAAAATTAATCTTTGATCCTAAACTACATTCAACCAAATAAAAAAAGGTAACCACATTAGTCAAACCTATTTATGTAGTCATTCCCCATCTCTTTTTCACATCTTTGCTTATGGCACTGAACAAGAATCACTCCTACAACAACAAACTTGGATATGAAGCTCTCCCACCCATCAAAGCCCTGGCTGAAACACTTCAACACCAACCACAACCTTCTTCCTCAGACTATGCTTTTCCAATATTTGTCATTGTTGTGCTCAGTATCTTAGCCACTGTTTTGTTGCTCCTCAGCTACTTCACTTTCTTAACCAAATACTGCTCAAATTGGCGTCAAGTTAACCCAATGAGATGGATTTCCCTCCTGAGAATGCGACACAATGAGGATCCCTTCATAGCATTCTCTCCTGCTATGTGGAACCGAGGACTTGATGAGTCTGTCATCAGAGAAATCCCAACTTTTCAGTTCATAAAAGAAGAAGGTGAGGATCAAAGTGTGTATGGCTGTGTGGTTTGTTTGGTTGAGTTTAAGGAACATGATGTGCTAAAAGTTCTTCCCAATTGCAACCATGCCTTTCATTTGGACTGCATTGACGTGTGGCTTCAGGCCAATTCCAATTGCCCCCTTTGCAGATCAAGCATTTCAGGCAACACACACTGTCCATTGGATCATATCATAGCTCCAAGTTCTTCTCCTCAGGATTCTCAGTTGCTCTCCAATATGGGTAGTGATGAAGATTTTGTGGTTATTGAACTGGGAGGAGAGCCTGGAGCAGTGCTTCCACAGGTGCAACAAGAGAGGAATGACTCAAGGGGAAGCTTGGCACATAGAAATCACTCTACAAGGAAGGTGGAGCACTTGAAACCAAGGAAGTGCCACCATGTTTCCATCATGGGAGATGAGTGTATTGATATCAGAAAGAAAGATGACCAATTTCTCATTCAGCCAATTAGAAGATCTTTCTCAATGGATTCAGCACATGATAGACAAACTTATTTGGATGCTCAAGTCATAATACAACAAAACAGGCATCAGAATGAGGCTAGTGCCAGTGAGTACTATAACAGCAGATGTAGAAGAGCATTCTTCCCATTTTGTTATGGAAAGGGATCCAAAAATGCAGTTCTTCCTCTGGAGAATGATGTTTAGTGTGAGAAGATTTTCATTTTTTTCATCTCTTTTGTTTGGACAAAACCTAGTTGCAGTTATAAAAGTATGTCGTTCTTGCATCAGAATTGGAGTTTGTGTCTTTTTCTACTTTCAGTCATCAAAATGGAGATCTTTAAGTTTGGGCTGGCTTACTCATCATCCAAATGAAGCAAAGATCTTTGGATCACAGTGGTGAAAATTGGCAGAAGCAAATGGTTTGTGTAGAGTGACTTTTGCAATGATAGTGACTTAGTGAGTCTGACAGTGGAATTGCTGTGAAAAAGAAAAGTAAAAAGCTTTGCTTTTAGGATTAGTAATTAGTACCTTGCTTAAATTGCAAGGCGTGGGTATTTTCCTTTTTTAAAGTTTGGTTTTACTCTGAGATGAATGTAAATGATTGTTAGCATTGTATCACTTTCATACTCATTCTTTTCACTGGGTACAGTAGTACTTGGGAATTATAATTCCGGGTCCTTCTTTTCTGGATGTTATGATGCTCATTATTCCATTTACTTTATTGTATTTGTCCAGAGAATGTGTAAGGGGGTAGAACAAGCAAGCATGTGTATAAGTAGAAGCTATTTATTGGAAGCCAGAGAGTATAGGGTCCCAGGCAATGAGCAACCATAAGTAGCAGCATGAGAAATGTCTTTTGTGGAAATTATCACTAATACTACCTTTTTGCCTCATTGCAATCATATGAACAGAGACCAACTGCATGATAAAGCATTAAATGTGGTTTAATTTGGTATTCAGCATCTGTCCTTGTCCTTTCATAGCTCCTAACCACTATCTCCCCGTGGCTAGTCGTTAGTGATCTTTTGTGTTGTCACAACTTTTCAGGAATGTTGCAGGTAGCTGATTTATACCAGAGATATCAGCCAATAATCAAAAAACTGCAAGTGTACTCTTATAAGGATACTGATACAAAATAACTAAATAGTACTCATGGTTACATGAAGCTTTGCCATTTACAATAGGTTTTGTAATTACTTATTCACCATCTGCAAAACTTACCTTCTAAGAGAGCTATAAACAATCTCCAGAAACGTCACTGTCCATATTGTTCTTCATTATTTAATGCTTCCTCCATTTTGAAATAATGGTCATTTATAATTATGACACGTTGAGTAAAAAATAAAACACCCTATTGATTTTTAATATTTCGTCCATTTTAGTGTATCCTTCGTGCATATTCTATGTTAAGATCGTCCTCGTCTGATAGTTGAAACCACTGAGCAACTCAGCAATTTAGAAGAAATGGGAATCAATATTCTAAATGCAAGCAATGCTAGTTAGTTCCTTCTAAAAGGTATTCATCAAATCAATTTGATTCGATAAATTAAACTATTCAAAACAACAGACATGTTTTGATATTTTTATCTCTAAATTAATACATTTTTAAGACTGAATATTTGAGTTGTACTTTCATCCTTTTATATCTTTGTATAGTTTATGGGGTATTACCAAATATATTAATTTTACCATGTTTATTATATAACATTTTATCATATTTTAGAAAGAAAGAAAAAACTAAGAAGTAATATAACTAGAAAAAAAAAACATAATTATTACAAGAACAACAGATGTTTTCACTCTGCACTGAAATAAAAATAAAAAATATATAAAACAACCAATAAGATAAAAACTTTTAAAATGTCGATATATTTTTTCTATCATGATAATAACTTGAACCAATCAACATATCAATACAAAAATATTCAAACTCCAAATCAAATCAATTAAACTACATACCATCAATTCAAACTTAACTTCACTCCAAACTAAAACCAATATAACGCATGAACAGTAGCAACATTATAAAACAACTAGGGATCGAAGTACATTATTTGAGGAGGAATTTCCATATTATTAGTGACAGACAACTAAATACTGAGAATTTAAAAGAAAAATAAAATCTAAATCGTATGATGGCAAATCCTATATATATATGATTGGGGTATAACTACAACTTAATTTCAGTAATAACCCCCACAAATCTATGAGGAAGCCTCAAAACTGGTAAACAGATACGAATATCATAGAAGTTCATTACAATAAAACTGCTGAGGATTTATGTCATGATTCCAGCTTGGAGTCCCTGGTTATTGCAGGTGTTTTCCCTAACGGCAAAGCCTTCATAGGAATCTCATTTGCAGAGGGACCATGGGCCTTTTTCTTCAATTGTTCAAGAAGCCGTTGAGCTTCTCTAAGTTCATCTTCTGCACTTGCTCCGTGGCTTTCCCAAGCATCAATTGCTTGCTGTTGAAATTCAATTGCAAGGACATAACTGCAATTCCAGGAATCAGCTGTTTAGAAAAGTATGAACTTATCCCTTTGATCAGATATGTATGCTGTATCAGATACCCCAGAGGAACAACAGAGAAAAATTAGTTAAAGGAACATGCTTGTGCATTCCATTCAACTAATAGGAGGGTATTTTTACATTTAATATCACTACTAGATAATCAGATATTCCTCTCAATTCCTAAAATTATCGTAATTCTATATATACAATATCAGTTCCCTATAATGAGAAATAGGTAAAATATATCCATGAATGAACAAAACTAAACAATTTCAAGCATCTTAGGTAATAGGTAGGAGAGCTAAAATCATATTACTCCGTCTCACAATGACTGCAATTCTGACCATTTAAAAATCTCTCAAATTGGCTGATATTTTCACATTCCAATGAAGTAGTATTTTTTTTTCATCCTAATTTGTCATTAAGTTAATTATTTTCTCTATCTCCATTAAAATAATGCATTTATTGAAAAAGTTAGACTATTTTAATAAATTGTTTCAAAAAGTGGTATATTTATTGTTCTTAATCTATGTGAAAGAACCTTAAACTACGGTCGTGGTTTGGTTTAAATTTAATAAACAGCAAAATACAACTGAACCACCCAAGAAACTTTATGCATAAAAGGTCGCTTACCAAAAGAAATTAACTTGTCAATCTTTTAAAATGACATTTTGTATTTACTAGCAGAAATATGGAATAGCACATGCAGAGATGGTGGTAAACATAGATTCCCCTACAGGCACTTATATTCTATCTTCATCCAATGTTTGCTCATCAAACAAAATCAATTGCACCACAGAGATAAAATTCCAGCGTACATTCCCTGTAAAGGATCATTATATAACAACTTCAAAAATAAAATTCTGGAGACTGTAAATAAAATAACATTGGCAATGGAGCTCAATGTGACCAAACTCAATCATGAAATGCGTTAGGCTTAAAGTTCAAAACAGAGCAAAACTTATACGGTGTCCACATTTGCAGCATTTCCTAAGGACATAATCCCTTTCATTCAAGATCCAACCTCGAGGATATCATCTTTCAACTCAATTACATTCTATCCCATATTTGAAGAATAGAACTCTATGCAGTAGCCCCAAATCAGAAATCCTATGCTAAGTATAAAACACAGGATAGTGATTACAAATTAATTCATTTGAAGATGCAATAATATACAATCTAGTTTGATGAAAAATAACAGGGTGAGTGCCACACACAAATTAAAGGACTGAGTCCTGCACAATTCTTATAAGGAAGCTGCCAATAAACATAATGTGAAAATACAAGAAGACTTATTAATCATCACAAACTCTTCTCTGTAATAAATCATTAAAGAAGAATGCTTGAGAATTCAGACATCCAGGAATTTCACTAGTCCCAAACAGTAGTTCTTATGGAATCTGGATAGCACAGTAATGGGTATATGCTCAAAAGAAGTATGTTTAGAGTTTAGATTGACCAGAGAAGATACCATAAGACGTAGTACATCATATAATATTCTTAGAAAGGGGACTTAAAGTTTACTCAACCTTGCAAAACCGATTATAAGACAACATCTAATTGATATAAGATCTTCAACACATGGTCTCATGCCAAGGACTGGACATCTCAAGTATGAAACTAGGTGTTTGTGAATTATCTGATAGCAAGTGGTATAATAAGTCCAACAAATCTTGTAAGGATAGAGTCTAATATCAACTTCAGAAAATAAAGAAATAGATAACAGAGCTTAAAAATGTCTCCCTTAGGTGCTCATATCGACAATAGATGTCACACGATGATTGGAAAGGAAAGTGTAAAAGACAAATAATAGGTACATATAGGTACTACCTAAAAACAGTTTTTGAATAAAACCTACTTAACCTATTCTGAACCTAATATAACAACCATAATAAGTGTACAAAAAACAAATTGCTCTTATAATCAACAAATAAAGAGAAATGATATCAACATATGAAATCAAAACAATAAAACCAATGATACCTTCCCATTTCGCCATAAGCCTTTGAAAGATTTTGGCATGCCTCAATTGTATCTACATGATGTGGACCAAGAGATACATCCATGATATCCTTTGCTACTGCAAACATTTGTGCTGCTGACTGGGGTCTATCCAACTCTAAATACGCTGCCCCCAAGTTGTTGTAGATATAACCCACTCCAAAATGCTTGGGACCAAAGCTATCTTTCAATCTTTCAGCGGCACTTTCTAAATAAGGAATAGCCTTCTGCACCTTACCTGTCAACAACAGTAACCAACCTATTCTTGCAGAAACACTCCCCTCCGAGTGCTGCTCTTGTGGCTGCTTCTCAAGCAAAGCTAGTGTTCTCTTCAGCAACAAAATCGCAGTTTCAAACTCATTCATGGTTTCATACTGCATTGATATCTCCGAGTATGCCTCGGCTACTTCCACAGGTGAAATCCGTTCTCTTTTGTCAAGAATCCCAAGGGAAACCTCCAAACACCTCTTGCACTCCGCAAACTTCTCTTGATTACACAGTGCTTTCGCCATTGACACAAGCACAAGTGCTCGAGTCTCACTATCCTTCTCCGTCTGATGCACTACACCGTTCAAAGTACCAACAGCCTCGTCATACCTCCCCAAAGCAATCATCATATTTGCAGCATCAATCTCAGCGCGTAACAAATCTGCATTGAGATTCCAATTCTTCAAAATTCTCTGAGCCAAAACATTCTGCTCCAGCGCCTTCTCGTGCTCCTCCAACCCGCTATACACAATCCCAAGAAGTTTTCTATCATGCGCAACCTCCACTGAGTTCTGCCCCAACCCCTTCGTATGAATCTCCAACGCCTTCAAACAGTAAGGAAGCGCCTCCTTGAAGTTCAAAACCGCGACATAAGCCTCAGCCAAGTCACGGTTGGCCTTACCCAACTCCCCACTGTCGTTTTCAAAAGTCATCTCCTTAATCTCCAAACACTTCCTAAGATTCTCAAGAGCCTCCTCCCTCCTTCCCATGGCATTCTTAACATTGGCCAATTCAAGCTGCACAGCATGCAGCACGGGCCTAACATCATCAACACCAAGACCCTCATCCTGCAACCTACCCAATACCCTATTGGCCCTATTAAGGTACCCTAAACTATCATTAAACCTCTTCAACCTAAAATTAACAGACCCCAACAACTGCAAACACATGGCAACAGGTAGAGAAGGGTTGGAATTATCTTTATCCAAAGCTTTCAAAGCTCTGTTAGCAAAGGAAAGAGCTTTCTCAGGATCCTCACCTTCGCGATCAAGTTTAAGGCCAATTTTCAAAGAAGCCAAACCAAGTTCTCTCTCGTCGAAAACTTCTTCCATGTTACTGAACGCCTTGAGCATTTCCTCGGTGGTTTCTGCGGACTCAAAAGTCTCCTCAAGCTGCGAATTTTTCATGATTTTGAGCTGCCTAGAGGGTATTGGAGATGTTTTCTGAACGAGGGTGCCCATGTTTCGAAATGGGGTGGTGATAAAGTCGTTGGGTTGGAT